GTCACTCAACGTAACTAAGGGCATCTATACAAAACCACCAGCCAGCAGGAACCAGACAGAGATGCATTTATCACCACTGCTATTCAATATTGTTCTGGAAGACCTAGCCAGAGCTATACAGCAAGAAAGGGATATATTAAAGCCATCCAAATTCGCAGAGATGAAGAATTGCATTTGGGATTTTCTAAGTATAGGATCATATCATATGCACAAATTCCACAAGAAAATTATTGGAACTCTGAAACTCATCGATAGATTCGGCACAGTGGCAAGGTAGAAGATCAGCATACAAAAATCAGATGGATTTTTTTACACTAATAAAGAGAACTCTGAAAAGGAAATCAGGAAAACAATGCAATTTATAAGAACTACCCAAAAGATGAAATACTTGAGAATAAATCTAACCAGAGAAACAAGTCCTATACAAAGAAAATTACAAAACACTGTTACAAGAACCCAACAGACCTGCAGCAATGGAGCTCAGGGAAAGGAAGACTTAACATTATGAAAATGTCAGCTCTATCCAAAGCAATCTATAGATAAAATGCTATTCCAATCCAGATTCCAACATCATTCTTTGAAGAGATGAACTTAAAACTAACTTTATATGGAAAGAGACCCCAGATAAACAAAGCATTATGAAAAAAGAATAGCCTTCTTTCTCACTTTCTGATTTTAAAACCAACTACACAGCCAAAGTAGTCAAAACAGCTTGTACTGATACAACACAAGACACATATATCATTGGAACAGATTTGAGAACCCAGAAGTAAATCCATCCACGTATGGTCAGTTGATCTTCGACAAGGGGTCAAAATGCATTAAATGGGGACACACTGGGAATACATTGGCCAAAAAATGAAACAAAACCCAAACGTCACACCATATACAAATCACCGCAGTACGGAATAAATACCTAAATGTAAAACCTAGAACTATACAGACCATCAATGAAAACATAGCAGAAAGCCTCATTTCAGAGATTCAAATCAAGACGACAATGAAGTATCACCTTCTTACTCCAACATTAATAGCAAAGTTCCCAAAAGTAGAAAACAACAAATGGTGTCGAGGGTGTGGAGACACTGGGACCTTCCTACAGTGCCAGAGGGACTGTAAAATGGTGCGACCACTATGGAAAGCGGTATGGCACTTTCCCAAAAAGTTGGGAATAGAAACAGCATCTGAGCCAGCAGTCCCTCCACTTGGTAGATATCCTCGAGAAGTGAGAGCTGTGACACAGATACATACATGCACACCCATGTTTGTTGCAGCACTATTCACAGTAGCAAAGAGACAGACACAACCTAAAACCCATCAACAGAAAAATGGTCACATAAACTTCGGTACATACACACAGTGGGATAGTACGCAACACTGAAGAATAACAACCTGCAAAACACCTCACAACACGACGAACCTGGAGGCCATTATGCTGTGTGAAATTAGTCAATCACAAAAGGGCAAATATTAAATAATGAGACCACTGCTGTAAAAAGGTAAGATTTTCTAGCTAAATGAAACATTCTGTGATGGTGGGGTGTGTGGGGGAGGAGAAAATACAGTGACTATTGATAGGTACCATTAACTGATGGTACAGGCTGTGGACTGCTATCATCGTAATGAGACAAAGTGTATAATTTGTTGGGTGTGGGACTGATGCTCTATCTGTTCTGAAAACCTTTACTCAATTCACAATTTAAAAAGTTAAAACATAAAACAGAGTGGACATGTTAGGATAAAATTAGTTATTGACAGATTATGGTTTTCCTGATTGAAAAATATAATTCAAGAGACTCAAACATTAAGTTTATATAGTTCACCAGTTATATTTACATTTTCTATATATCAGCAATAACATTTAAAAATATGAGAATTTCTTAATACACATATTATAAAAGAAAAATAAGTTTATGCCAAAATTCTGTCTGACCTAGAAAGTCAAACATAATAAAAATATAAGTGACAGACTAAAAGATAGATTCAATGTATGTAATCAACAAATGGCTAATTGCAGTATATATAAAGAACTATAACTCACTAGGAAAAACACACAAAACAGAAACTGGGCTAAACACCCAAACAGATAGCAGGAAAAAGTTGCAACAATTTCAGCCACAAAACAAGAAAAGTGCTTATTTCCCCAATGACTTAAACTCGGATATCACGCTTGGTAGAGAGTCTGCCAAAAAGAGGAAGACCCTCAACAAGCTGTGGACGGACTCACAGTGTCTACAACAATGGGGTCAGACACCGTATCAACTGTGAGGACGGCCCAGGATTGGGCAGTGTTTCCTTCTGTCATACATATGGTCACTGAGTCAGAACTTAATGGCACCTAATAACAGATTTTATGAGATCTACATCAGATTTCTGAGAAAATTCTCTTTTTCATACTTTGGCATTTTTTCTCTTTCAACATCATTTTGTTCATGAAGATGCTCCATAGCCATTAGTATACATTTCTTTGTTTTCATCAACTTTGTGTATAAATAACCAACTATGTATCTTCCAGTCAATGACACCTGTAATAACTGAGTCTCAGAACTTCACTGGTTCAGTTAAAAGTTGAGCCTGTTTTCCTGTGCTTATTGACCACTGGTATTTCAGTTATTAACCCAAATATCACTTTATTTTGTTTTGTTCTTACTGATTTGTGTAGGTAGTCCCCCACCTACAACAGGGTTCCATGATGACTCTGTCATAAATTGGTTCTGATGTTTTTCCCGGTTCATTATCATTAAGTGCCTTTAAGTCGGTTCCAACTCATGGAGGTGTTATAGGGTTTCAGAGGAGCAGCTGGCGAGTTTGAATAGGCGACCTTGTGGTTCAAACTGACCTCACAGCCCAGGGCTTTATCCCGCAGCACCACCCCTTGTTTAAATACATGGGGAGTGGACTACAGTTTGTTTGTATGGGTATGTCCTTTTTTGTCTTTTGCTTAAGCAATAATTCCGTGTTCTGAGAACATACAGAGTTGAGTGGTTTTTCTGAGACTGGTCTCACGGGAGTCTGCCTGCAGATCTGTTGAATGACAGAACCAGGTCGCTGGTATGCTCAGCCCATGTTGTACCTGCTGTGTCAGTCTGTCCCACCAAGAGCCTCCTTGGTTTCTGCAGACCAACATGATGTTCTGATTAGCAGCTGGTTTTCTCTGACGCATGTCCAAAGTAAGCGAGCTGAAGTCTCACTATTCTTGTTTCTAAGGAACACTCACTCTAGTTACATTTCTTCTAAGATTGATGTGTTCGTTCTCTAGCTGGTGTTGCTGAGTGCCATCAAGTCAGTTCCAATGCAGAGCAATCCAGCATAGGGTTTCTGAGGAGCAGCTGGTGGGTTTGAACTGCCAACCTTGTGGTTAGCAGTCCAGTGCTTATCGCACAGCACCACACCAGGAGTGGCTCTCTGGCAGTTGCCATATATTCAGAATTCTTCTTTGCATTATTCTCACAGGTGGAGCCGCTGAAAGAGCAGGAACACTAGAAGCTGGAGATGAAATCCTTGCCATTAATGGACAACCCCTGGTTGGGCTCATGCACTTTGATGCCTGGAATATTATGAAGTCTGTACCGGAGGGACCTGTGCAATTAGTGATTAGAAAGCACAGAAATTCTTCATGATACAAGCACTGGTGCTTGTTACAGATTTTTAACTACCTTCTTTTCTCAGTTCCCTTATTTCTTTACCAAATCAGAGTGATGACTTTACACGAATGGGATTCTGAAATAGCAACAGAGAAGCACCAGTATTGTCAAAGACTATAAAAACCTCGTGTTGACTTGTACGTGAAGCCTGCCGCATTATATGTGCTACAGCCACAGAGCTGAACTCTGGAAGCTTCCATGTGGATCATTAAGGTTCATTTTAGTGTTTGTGCCTGTCCCGTCTTTTATGATGGCTGATGGGGGTCCAAGATGTGGCTTATCCTTCTTCATCTGTGATATTTAACTAGACCTTTACACCCCTCTTGCCACCTCTTTCCTGCAAAGTCAATCCTGGTGACTAGTCTGAGGGTACCACAGATGTCAAAACAAAAGGACTATAGTTTCATATAATTTTTTAGTAAAAGTACGTTTAGGCACATTCAATGCAAGGAGAAGCTGTAGATGTGTATACATAACCCTGAAGTGTATACATAACCCTGAAGAGTATATGAGGATAAAAAAGGTGAATTATTATTGTGGGGAATTCGGGGATTATCTGAAAATGAAGAAAAAAAGCCAAACAGAGAAAGATTAATATTTTTTAGTGCGCGTAATGTGCAATCTATGGGTCACAGTTCAAGTCAGTGGGGTTATTGGTCATCTTGGTGCATTGACTGTTTCTGCTTCTAGAAGCGTAGGTCAGTAGGCTGCCGTCCGAGTTAACAGCCCCACGAATGCACTGAGCAGCCATGAGTCCCTGCTCAGAAGGAGCACAGTCCCAGACCAGAAAGCACGTTGCCTCTCGTAGGCTAACGTGTCCTAAGTACGCACAGAAGGCTGACACTGGTCAGCACAGGCGTTGGCAAAAATACCAGTCATTGGGTTTCTATTCTCTGCTTTATGCACCAACCACAAATTAAAATTTTACTAGTCAAATATCCTTCCAGTGATCTTCCATTTACAATCCTAGACGTTACAGTGGTAATCTAAACAAAAGCCCTTAAAATCATTCTTTCAGTGAAGGGACACTTTTTGTTTGGCTGGGTCTCCCCGCCACTTGTTGCTAACTATCGGATCTCTTTCTGTCCCGGGTGTGGTGGCACAGCTCTGCAGTGACAGAAATCTGTGCTGTTTGGGTGTGCTTACCTGGTTTTTGCCACAATTGTTTCCTGGAAGACCATGTGACTCTGGCTGGCTGTGCCTCCTTTGGAAGCACAAGCTTTAGTGTAGCCACTGCCATTTGATGTGCTGCTCATTGTCACCAGTGGACTTTTCTTCCTTCGTACTGTAATCTTTCCTTCAATAAACTCCAAACCTTCATCAGCTTCATTCACCAAATGTAAGAAGATGAAGGAAATGGAGAAACAGGGTCAGTCATCCTTTCAGGGTAAAGTGACAGGACTACCACAAAGTTACCACCCCAGGTCTCGGGGTACAGGCTAACCAAGCGATGTGGTCCTGGGGACATGGGTGGAGGGTCCACTGATCATACATATGATGACACTGAGGTTTCTTTTGAAAACCTACAGCGTAGAGTACAGAACCTAGAAGTCTTGATGCTCCCGATCAAGAAAGGACATCATTTTTCTGACTGACCAAGTCCACAGGGCTGACTCTGAAGGTTTGTGGAGTCAGCCCAGAGGGTTTTCAGACAGAAATGAAGTACCTGGCTCATCCGAGCCAGAGTTCTCATTTTATTACAGGTTATACAAAGGAGAATGCAGTACAGGACTTAGAAACCTGATTCATTTAGCTTCTACGTTTCATTAAAATTACAGGTAAGATACTATAGGAAGTCCGTGCAAGGTGCATGTTTGATTTTTTTTTTTCCAAGTCTGTGGGGTCAGTTTCTTCGTTTCTGCTTTCTTGCCTAAATGCCAAGATTATTTGACTTCAACACTGAAAACTATTCTTTACCTCCACACTTACACAGCTGTGCCTATTATTAAGAAATGCACAGTCATGAGACTAGACAGAAACTTCTCAATGTGGAGCAAGTTAGGCTCTTCTGAGACCACATCTGCAGAGTTCAAGTACAGGGGTAGACCTCCTGCTTCCTCGGCTATGTGAAAGTCATCAGCCACTTCTAGATCGTGCCAGAAGGGTTCCCGGGTTAACCATTGGAATTTACGGGAAGAAGCAAAAGCTCTGTCTTTGACCCTAAAATAGAAAGTAATTTAATTGTCTTCAGTGTTCAAGGCATGGCTAGTATTCTAATTAGTCTGATAAACTCCTACACTTCCCAAAGTGAACACTAATGGTTTTGTCTAGGTTTTCTAACTGGTTGTTCACAATAAGCTATGAGGGTAAATAAGTGTTATAACATGAACATCGTAGATCCAAGAATAGACCGTATAGGTGGGGTTTCATCCTCCCATCCACATCTCATTGAATTTTATGGTTGACTTAATTCGCACCACATTGTTGTATGATAGTATACATTACCCTTTATTTATGTAAAATGAAATGCCTTATATATATTAAAGAGTAAGTGCAATAATATGAAATAGCCTGTACATTTTTTAAATGTTGTCGCCACGTTATGTAAATCCCCATCTCTGTAAACAGCCTTTTTTAAGTAATTTTAAAGAAATAAACACTCTGCTTAGTACTTGCTTTCTTTGTTTCACTGTTTTTGCATCTCGTGAGTAACTTTTAAAAATATCATAATAAATGTTTATCACCTACTACCTAACTATGACTTAAATGAATCAGAAGTACGAAGGCAACATACTGACTCAGTATCACCTAAAACACAAAGGCAAGAGAAATCAAGTCACTTACTCTTAGATGACCATACTCAGGAGCTTGTCACCAGCGTCCTTCAACACAATGTTCTGGCCTTCTAAATCTTCCTTCCCTTTTTCCAGAAACTTTGTCTGATCAAATGGAAGACAGTTGAGAGCACAGAATCCATACACCTGTGGACTCCGGCTGTGGTCCTGCAAGTTAACGCACTGGACTGTGAGGTCAATTTGAACCACAAGATTGGTGGTTCAACCTCACCAGTTGCTCTTCAGAAACCCTATACAGTGTCGCTATAAGTCAGAACTGACGCAACGACATTTAATAAAAAACAACAACAGACTTCTGGTGTGGCACTGTAGGATCAGCCCTGGACTGCGAACCACAAGGGTTGGCAGTTCAAACCCACCAGTTGCTGCTCAGGAACCCTGTACACAGTTGCTATAAGTCGGAACCGACTTGACATTACTTAACAACAACAATATGCCCCGCTGATTTGGGACAAGAGTGCGCTTTAAATAAATGGTGCTGGGAAAATTGGATTTCGTCCTGCAAAATAATGAGTTAGGATCCATAGTATATACAAACAAATTCAAAATGGGTCAAGGGCCTAAATTTGAAAGCTACATAGGGCTGGCTGCATTCTAACAATAGGTTATGACATAGGATAACAAAACACAAGCAAAGGACAAAATTGACAGCCTCATTAAAAACATTTGTTTTTGTCCATAACGCAATTTAACAACAATGTAAGACAACCTACAGAATGGGATAAATGTTCAGGAACAATATATCCGATAAGGGTCTATAGTCAAAATAGGTAATTGATACAACTTGGAAAGAAAAAAAATAATCAAAAACTGGCAAGGGGCTTGAACAGCCATTTCAGCAAAGAGGATATTCAAACGGTCAACAAACACATGATAAAATATTCAAGATTACTGACCATCAGAAAGATGCAAACCAAAGCCACTTGACTTGAAATGGCTAAGAGTTAAATAAAAAATGGGAAATTTAAATAACAAATGCTGGTGAGGATGTGGAGAAACTGAAACTTAGCCACATTGCTGGTAAAAATGAAAAATGATTCATTTTCCACTTTTGATTCAAACTGGGAAACAGATTGGTGATTCCTGAAAAAGTCCAGCCATTGCTGTTAGGTGCTGTTGAGTTTGGTAGTGAAGTGGGTTTCGTGTTGGGCTGGTGACCACAAATACAAAAGTTCAAATCCACCAGCCACTTCATGGGAGAAAGATGAGGCTTCCTGTTGCCACAGAGACTCCCAGCCTTGGAAACTCTCATGGGGTTGTGATAAATCAGAGGCCAACTCAACACCACAAAACAGCAGCAGGTCTCTGAGGCTGTCCACAGGAGCAGAAAGCCTCATCTTTCTCCCACAAAGTGACTGCTGGATTTGAACTGCTGACCGTGTGGTTAGCAGTCCAGTGCTTATCGCTACAGTGCCACCAGCACTCCAATACTACTTCATGTTATAAAGTGCCGTCAAGTTAATTCCAACACAGGACCTTATATAGGACTTGAAAGGATCAATTGGGTGGGTTTGAACTGCCGACCTTGTGGTTAGCAGTCCATTGCTTATTCTACAGCACACCAGACCAAGACTCCTATTCTACCATTGTTGTTGTTAAGTGCTGTCAAATCAGTTCCAACTCATAGCAACCCTGTATAGGGTTTCTGAGGAATGGCAGGTGGGTTTGAACCACCAACCTTGTAGTTAGCAATCAAGTGCTTATCCTGCAGCACCAGACCAGGACTCCTATACTACCATTTGTTGTTGTTGTTGTTAAGTGCTGTCGAGTCGATTCCAACCCATAGCAACCCTGTACAGGGTTTCTGAGGAGTAGCTGGTGAACTTGACCTGCTGACCTTGAAGTTCAAACAGCTTTGCAGTCTGGCACATTAACCCACAGCACCATACCAGGACTCAAGACCCAGGAATTCCACGACTAGATACCTTCCCCAGGAGACCTGAAAGCAGCAAGGCAAATATGTCAATATATGTCTGCAGCGACTTTCACAACAGACAAAACCCAGAAAGCACCTAAATGCCCATCACCAGGTTAGCAGTTACACAAAGTGTGGCACATGCATGTTGTTGTTGTCAGGTGCCATCGAGTCGGAACTGACTCATAGCGACCCCATGCACAGCAAAATGAAATAATGTCCGATCCTGGGCCAACCTCACTACTGCTGCCACACTTGACACCATC